TCTAAATCTAATTCCTATTAATATTTTATATTATTATTTAATATTTTATTATTGTATCTTTAATCATTCTTGACCATTACCTTTATTATTTAAATGTTATGATGAAATTTTCATCATGAAGGGGACGAATACAACCCACTATCCCACTGACAACCCCTCGGAAGAAAAAGGAGATATGATGTTTATCTTTAGTTATTTCATTATTATCATTTATGTCCTACTAACATGATGGCATATTATTTAAATAATATGATTATTCCTTTATATGTGATATCACATGATCACTACCCTAAAAATACGGTAAAGTCTGTACACCATTTATTTTATTATTATTTAATGTTTGGCACATGACAACTTGTCTAACTAAATGCTATCCTTAATAATTCCTAACCAATTATTTGAGTGACAGTACCACTATATCCATTATTTAAATATTAGAATAAAACTTTGGGCTAGCCTTTATTTGATTACCCACTGTCTCACTATCGGTTTGGGAAAACCCACTAAGGAGATTAATCCATGGCAACCACACCACACGCATTCTATGTTACATTATTAAATTTCATTAAATTATATTGTCACATACACATTTCACAAGGCATATTACATTATTGTATGTTTATATGATCTATATGTGACATTACCCGTAATATGCACACTTTAATGATTGATTGCTTGTATACGATACTCATACAATTTATTGATTAACCAGGGTCCAAAATTATGGTGGTCAACACTATGGATCAGCCTATGGATCACTGAGCCACATGCTTATGGTGACAAAGATTTAGTTCGAACGGTGATCTCTTGTCTGACCAGACACCCACTTGCTCGGACATTCGCTTATTTGGACACCTATGTGCCTAGACACCCGCAAGCTTGGATACCCACTCTTTTGGGCACCTACAAAATTGGACACCCTTGAGTTTGAACCTCGACTCATGGACCCAACTCGATGACCCTACAGATGGTCCCGACTCGATGACCCTACGTATGGCCCCGACTCAAATATCGAACTTGTGGACCCAACACATAGACCCAATATGCGAACCCGACGAGCGGACCCGAGTCATGTCAAGAATCAACTCAATATGAACACACGTTAACGTCGAATGCATACTCACAGAGAAGAACGATATAAGCCGAGTCGCCTCGCAACGAGCACAGCCTTCAGCCGAGCAACCGTCTCGCCGAGAGCATCGCCTCTAGCCGAGCAGCCTCGCAACGTGTGCTACCTCTAGCTGAGTATTGCTTCACGTTAAGCATTGTCTCATTCCGAGTACTAGTTCTGAACGACATCTAGTCATTTCGGCTCACACATAGATTGAATTTAAAAGTCCCCAGCCAAAAGACTATCTTGACTTAAAACTTGGGGGACTCTTGTTATACCATATATTGGGCCTCGATATTTGGGCTTCATCACTAAGCCCATGATCTATGTAAGAGGGGAAGGAACCCTTACTCTATAAAAGGGATCATCCTCACCTTCACTTGGAGGAGGGAAGAAAATAGAGAAAAACATACAGAGAGGCAGAGAATAATACAGAGAGCAAATACTAAGTCTCTATAGCCTCCATGCATACTGTAACCTTCATCAACATTAATCGACATCAGTGTGGACGTAGCCCAACTTGAGGTAAACCATGATATATCTTTGTGTTCTTGTGCGTTTGTGTGATTCACGGTCGGATTTACGTTGGTCCAAGATCTTTCGGATTTTATGCATCAACAAAATTTGTTTAAGGTTGTTTGATAATCATTTATAATTTATATGTAAAGTGGTTAATATAAAGATGCAGGTATTTTATCAGGACTTTATTCAATGCTTTCATAACATATACAATTACTAAGCAACATTTTTTCCCTTCGATTTCATCAATTTTCTTCTAATTCATGTTTTTACATACATTGGATAACTTCCAAATTAATCACGTGAAGAGAATGAGTTTTCAAGCTTCGCAAGTTAATTCAAGGGCCTTAATCACTGTTTAAGGCTTTTCTATTTCTAATGCTTATTACTTATCCTCCTAGATTTCCTCTTATCAAGAAAATTTTACGAATTGCAATTATTAAATATTATTAGGGTGAGAAATGGATCATCGATTTGAAATCAGCTCTTCCTGTAAGCAATTTATCCACTTATTCATCTCAATTTCTTATTCTTTGTAGATTGTTCTGATACCTGCTCTCTCATTTTTTTTCATTGACACAACGCTTTCATTTCTTCTTTTTCATCATACTTTGAACTTACATTTCATTTCCAGCTGCAAATTCTGAGGATGAGCTATACACAAGAAGGGATTATTAATGGGTTTTGGATGTGATATAAGTTGACATCTTTTGATAAAATTGAAGTTTTTAGTGATGTGTTTTTATAGAATTACAAATTTGAGTAATGAGTTTTTTCAATGGTGGTTTTTTTTTTTTTTTTAACATTTATGATGCTATTTGTAAAATTTAGTTAATTTTTTTTAACAATTATAATATCGTTTGATTTCAATTCGTAATTACTTCTTTTGTTAAATTTAAGCTTGATATTGTCAGCAGATCTTTATACTTTATGTCCAAATATATATACAATGATGTATATGTGTAGTTTTTATAATATTGCTCAGCATTTTGAGTGTGTTCTTTTTGTGTGTTGAGAGGTAGAGTACACTGTTCACAAAGGCAAAACAGGGGACATCTTCTACTTCATTGGGAAGAAGAGGTTAGTTCGATTGTGATTGCTCTTTTTATTTGGTTAGATTCGAAGTTGGTTGGCTTGCGTCTAATTCAGTTGTTTCCTTGCACATGTTGAAGTCACTGGTTTTATTAATGCTGGTGACTGAAATGAACCCGAGTTCATGTTAAAACAATGTCATAATTTTCTTATGGTGAGAACTGAGAACCTTTCTTTTTTGTTTTTTTTTATTTTTTTTTTATCTTTACCGTTTTTTGAATTTAAGAAATTGAATTACTTTTCTATACTTTTTTGTGATCATTCCCTGAGAATTTGATAATTGTTTTAATATAATGAGGTAGGATTTTTTACTTTCTAAGCTCTATTTCTGATTTTCAATGATTGCTTGATTTCATATTGTCAAATAGTTTATGAATTTTCATATTAAGTGCGTCAATATGTTGTTGTCGTTTAATTAGATGTGATACAAGTTGACAGGTTTATACCTCGGAAACATAATTTTTTTTTACACAATTTTTAATCTCGTAGCAACGCGTGGGTAGAACTTTCTAGTGTACACTAAATATGGATGGAGTAATATCTAATTAGCCCAAACAATTTATTTAGAACAATATATGGCAATAAAACACGTTTCAGTTTTGATTAGATGAATTGTAAACAGCTTAAATGAATCGATGTCATTCTTCCTTCTATTCTAAATACTTTTTAGTAAACAACTTTAACGAGAATTTGAATAATGTTTCGTCTCTAATAAAATTCCTTCTCAATCAAATCATTTACAGACCAGTAAGCTTGGTAATGTACAATCTTGTTTCCCCAATTCTAAAGTATTTTCATTTCATATCTAGATCCACAATGCACACCCTCCACATGTGAATTTAATTTTTCTGCCACTATGTTAATATTTTCCTAACTCCGCTCTTGATAATCAGAAAACTTTTTATTTAAACAACTTTGTTTATTATTAAGGGTACCTTTTTATTATTATTAAGGACATTTTGTTTAATTCAAAATCGTCATGAAGTGCGACTTTTTTTGTTAAGTTGTCAGATCCTTTTCCTGGGAATCCTAGAGATTCCGTGATCGGGACCGTCAATCGTAAATCATGTGATCAGTTTTCGTTATGTACTATTTACATTTAATTTTAAATTTTAAATGATTTCTAATCGCACGATGTATGATAGACGATCTTTATCACGGGATCCTTAGGATCCCCAGGAAAAGGATTCTAAGTGTTTTCAAATAATAATTTGTGAGGGACTTTTTATTGGGGCCTAATCGGATAAATGGTCCCCGTGGTCATAAGGTATTCGGATGATAGTCCCTGTGGTAAAAAAATTCGGATTTAAACCCCTGTGGTCTAAGTCTGTTAGGATTTAAACACATGTGGTCTAAGTCTGTTAGGATTTATGCCCTTCTGTTAAATAATGTTGACGTGGCTGCCACATATATGCCACGTGACTGCCAAATGTCTGCCACGTGGCAAAAATAATATTTTTTTTTTAAACCTGAATTTTTACAAAAAAAAAAAAAAAAAAAAAAAACCCAGAAGCTCCCCCCGCCCTCCGCCCGTTCCCCCCCCCCCCCCCCCGGCCGGACTTCTTCTTCCCGTCGGAGCCCTCTCCCCACGTGACCCTCCTCCCTCTCCTTCTTCCTTCTTCTTCTTCTTCCCGCCGGTCTCCCCGCACGACTCCTCCCTCTCCCTCTTCCTTCTTCTTCTTCTTCTTCTTCTTCTTCTTCTTCTTCTTCTTCTTCTTCTTCTTCCCGCCGGAGACCAGCTCCCCCCTCGCCGGAGCCCTCTCCTCGCGCGACCCTCCTCCCTCTCTCTTTTCCTTCTTCTTCTTCTTCTTCTTGCAGATCTGGTTTTTTTTTTTTTTTTTTGGTAAAAATTCAGGTTTTTTTTAAAAAAAATTAAAATTTATTATTTTTACCACGTGGCAGACATTTGCCAGCCACGTGGCATATATGTGGCAGCCACGTCAGTATTATTTAACAGAAGGGCATAAATCCTAACAGATTTAGACCACAGGGGTTTAAATTCGAATTTTTTTACCACAGGGGCTATCATCCGAATACCTTATGACCACGAGGACCATTTATCCGATTAGGTCGGTACTTTTTTTATCCCCTTCTTTTATTTTGTGCGGTCACTATTAAATTACATTAATATTTTATATTAATTTTGTTTAGAGATAATAAAACAAAAAGTCTCGCAACAAGACAGGTAAATAAAAAACTAGCATACAAATAAAACGCTACTTATGCATCAAGAATAAATGAGTTTCGATCTACAACACTTGCAAGTTAAGACAAAAAATAAAACGAAAAATGAGCCCTAGGCTTCATTGATGTCCAACAGAAGTTGAATACAAAGAAAGCAAATCACTTTATTCAAGCTGTGAATAAAAGAATACATAACGAAGCACAAAAACTTGTCATCCAAGAAATACAGGATCCAAAATTGTGGAAAGTAATGCCTTAAAGCATATGGTATAAGTGAGAAAACAAAAAGTAAACAAAAGTTGATAGCAGATGGAACGTATAATCCACAAGCTGTAAATAACTTAGAGCTCTGAACCCTTGTCATTAGCTGCATCCTCAGTTACCAGATAGTCACGGGCTCTTTTCAACGTATCTTCAGCTTGTGCTTTGTTTTCTTGTTCAAGATACGTCAAAGCTTCTTTCATGAACTCTTCAAATTTTGCTTCTTTATCTTTACCCGTGTCATCTTGGTGAAAACACATTACAGCTCCATCAATCATCTCTTTAGCCTTTTCTGTTTTAGATTTCTCAAGAAAAATGAGAGCTCCTTGAACAAAATCGTCGACTAACTCTAGTTTGCCAACTCCATCGCCACCATTTTCAAGAAATTTCATTCTTTTCAGTTTCACTGCAGTCTTATCTTTCACGTCTTTGACTAGCTTATTTTGTTCTTCGACACCCATGCTTTTGAGTAGCTTATCTGCTTCTTGGACATCTTCATCCCCTAAAAGATACGTCATAGTGCCTTGGATTGCCTCTTTAGCTTTCTCCATACGGTCTAGTTGAAAAAGCGTCATAATTCCATCCAGAATCTAGAGCAACGTACATTACCACTCCTTCAACAACCTCTTTTATTTGCTCTACTTGTTTCTTTTCAATAAAAGTCAGAGCTACTTTCAAAACCTCAGCAACAAAAATTGCCTTTTGTATTCCTCTTTCTGCTTTATCTTGCTCAAGATACTTCACTTCTTTCGCATGACCCGCTCCTGCTTTCCGTAATTCTTTGACATCATCATCGTTGCCAAGATACGTCATTGCTTCATTGATCACCTCTTTAGCTTTCTCTAAACTGTCTTGTTCAATAAATGTCAAAGCTCGTTGGATCATCTCCTCGAATGCGGCTGCTTTATCTTTTATTTCGTCACATTGAGAAACAAACAGTTTCATTCCTTCAATCACATTCTTAGCTTTGGCTATTTCTTCTCCACCAAGATACGTCAAAGCTTCGTTAAGAAAGTCATCAACCAGGAGCACTATATTTACTCTTGCTTGCACTTTATTATTTTCAAGAAATTTCATTCTTTTCAATTTCGTTGCAGTCTTATCTTCCACGTCTTTGACTAGCTTATTTTGTTCTTCGACACCCATGCTTTTGAGTAGCTTATCTGCTTCTTGGACATCTTCATCCCCTAAAAGGTACGTCATAGTGCCTTGGATCGCCTCTTTAGCTTTCTCCACACGGTCTAGTTGAAAAAGCGTCAAATTCCATCCAGAATCACCTTAGTTGAGCCCACTTTGTCTTTCACTGTGTCATCTAGAGCAACGTACATTACCACTCCTTCAACAACCTCTTTTGCTTGCTCTAGTTGTTTCTTGTCAATAAAAGTTAGAGCTACTTTCAAAACCTCAGTAACAAAAATTGCTTTTTGTATTCCTCTTTCCGCTTTATCTTGCTCAAGATAACTTCACTCCTTCCGCATGACCTGCTCCTGCTTTTCATAATTCTTTGACATCATCATCGTTGCCAAGATACGTCATTGCTTCATTGATCACCTCCTTAGCGTTCTCTAAACTGTCATGTTCAATGTCAAAGCTCGTTGGATCATCTCCTCGAATGTGGCTGCTTTATCTTTTATTTCGTCACATTGAGAAACAAACAGTTTCATTCCTTCAATCACATTCTTAGCTTTGGCTATTTCTTCTGCACCAAGATACGTCAAAGCTTCGTTAAGAAAGTCATCGACCAGGAGCACTATATTTACTCTTGCTTGCACTTCATTATTTTCAAGATGCTTCACTCTTTTGCCGCTCTGTTCATCTTTGACTTCGTCGTCGCTTTCAAGATACACAATAGCTCCTTTCATCATCTCTTCAGATTTTTCTATCATATCTTGTTCAAGAAACTTGATAGCTTCTTCATGAACTCTTCAAGTTTGGCTGCTTTGTCTTTTATTGTGTTGTCATGATAAAGGTACTCGATAGCTCCTTTCATCAGCTCTTCAGCTTTGTCCGTTTGATGTTTTGCGAGAGAGTATAAAGCCCCGTCCATAAACTTCTGAACTAAGGCTACTTTTTTCACTCTCTCCGTAGGCTTAGAGGCTGCATCCCCATCTTTGAGTTCATGTCCCCTACATGCACAACGTAAATGATCTATAATTATTCACATTTGCAAATGCACTAATACACACAAACACAATACAAAAGAACAAAATGAAACAACCAATATTTTTGTAAGCTGTAAATTCTAAGATGTAGTGAATTGAAAAGCAAAGATAAGTGGTTAAAAATAGCATATCTTCAACTATTATGCTATTAGTGCCATGGGATGTGCAATAGTAAGAAGTACGTATAAACAACGAAAGAAATCAAACACATAGAGGACGCTAATATACACAGATAAATACGCAACAGTTATAGGCAGAGACGTGTACCAATCTACAATACTAGTACATTGTCCATATTTGGTTGATGGTACCACACGAACACAGAATCGACATATTTAACATCAACATTGCACCAGATTCTGTATATTGGTTTCGTTGTTTTCAATTAAGATTTCCTAGAAACAAACAAAAGTGATTCCGTACGTACCAATCTACAATACTAGTACATTGTCGATGTTTGGTTGATGCTACCACGCAAGCACAGAATTGACATATTTAACATCAACACTGCACCGGATTCAGTATATTGGTTTTCGATTAAGATTTCCTAGAAACAAACACAAGTGATTCCTTACGTACCAATCTACGATACTTATGTACCCATCATCACAGCATTGAACAAAACATAGACAATGTATCAAATTCTGTAGATTGAGTACTCTTCCTTACCGAACAATATTTCACATAAACGAAAGTGCATGACGGATTAATATTTCGGGAAATTAAAGGAGCAGGAGATTCAGAAAAGGAAGAACTTTTTTGAAAAAAATGTATGAAACTTACCCTTCCTGTTTCTCTTCCCCGAAAGTCCCCACCGACATAGCCAGCCATAGTACCAGAAGCAACGCCGCTCCCTTCCCCATCTCTCAGTTTCTCTTTTGCCCTCCTTCTGTCTGGAAAACTCGCTTTTTTGTGGCGCACACGATGTGTTTGATGAAATGTCTTCGACTCCGCGTGAATATATATAGGTATCGGATCACGGTGGCAGTTATTCATACCGGTAGAATAGGGCGCGAAGGTATTGGAATTCGCTGCCTTCCCTCCACCTGTTGCTTTTGTCATACGCCGAGGCCCCCCGCATCCTCCTCGCATTGTCCTTATTTGCAGTCTGCGAAGGAGAAAGGTGTCCTCGTGCGAATACAAAGACGAAAGGCTAGAAAGGGTTAAAAATTATTTGGATTTTGCTTCAAGGTTACGTGTTCGTGCGGACTTAGACACAAAAATATTTCAATTCGGCCCCATTTTGTGGAGGAGGATTCTCTTTCCTTTCCTCTCGTTCCCTCCCCTCCTACTTGAGCGATTACAGTTAAACCACGTTAATATTTTATATTGATTTTTTTATAGAAACAATAAGACAAAAAGCAAAATGTGAGATGAGGAGATGAAAATGAATGAGAATAGAAACGAAGAGATCATACTTCTCATTTTGTATCTCACCCCTATTACACTACAACCATGGGCCCACATAAGAAAATTTCCTTTGTAGGGGCACCATGTTGTAAGGTTTGTGTGATTATTCAATAACAAGTTGTCACGATGCCAAGTCCCGTGTTTGTAAGGAAAGTAATTCGCATGACACGTAATGTTGACACTCTTAGACTCTTTAATAGAAGTCAATCCTACTATTGTATGTGTGACCCATTTGTATTAGAGTGTCAACTACTATTTCACTTTTACTTGTGCAAATAGCATTGCCAATAAAGTATGAATGATAATTTACAATAAACTTTTAACTACTTAAGCTACAACCCCTCGACATTTTGATTGTCCGAACAATACAAAAGTAGTTTCTTAAGACCAGGCATATCATAAGAAATTGAGAAAGAGACATAGTATGACAGTATACTCATTTTTCTTATTTTTTTCTTATTGAAGGATGAATCATATCGATTTGAACAAAAATGAGAAAGTGAACTACGGAAATTAAGGGCTCATTTACGAGTGTTTTTTAAAATGACTGAAAGCACTTTTGGTGAATGCACATAGATTTTTATTAAAAATTAGTTTCAAAAACATTTTCAACCGCTTTCAGTAATTTTAAAAGCACTTTTAAACGAGCACCAACTATGTTAGGAAACATGCTTCATCAACTAATTTAACAAAAGACTGAAAGAATAACTTATTTCAATACATCGAATGCAAAATATAAATTCACACTACGAATTTCTACCATCTGGGGCTTTGATAGATGCCGGATTCCTACTTCTCTATCAACTGAGCCGGGGTATAAAATTCCATAGCTAAGCCGGATGACCACCTTCAGCTGCTAGTTTCATTCTTTGGTGGTGCTCTGTAACTTTATACTCTACAATTTCCTCAAACAATTGCGAATCCAGTACACAGTCTTCGCGTCCATACACGGCTGCTTGGACACTGGCCATGAGTTTAGCTATCTCACGGCCAGAGAACCCTTCTGTCTTTCGTGCAGCCTCTCGGATCAGATCATCAGACACATCCTTTATCACAATCTTTTGAGGTTTCTTCTTGAGGAAAACGCCCGACTTGGAGCTTTTGCCTTCATCGCCAAGATATTTGTTCAAATATAGCTTCAAAAGTTTGAATCTTTCCTCCTCTCCAGGAAGTGGGAACTCAATCACTTCATCCATCCTGTCAGTGATAGCGCTGTCAAGATCTCCTGGCCTGTTTGTGGCAAGTACTAGAACGATGTCTCTTGACTGGTCTCCAGTTCGGAAGAGCAATGCATTCAGAGCACTACGTTGAGCTTCGCTCATGTGTGTACTGTTTCTCCTGGCATGGGATCAAACAATTCACAAGAGGCTGAGCTTATATATAATATATATACATATACATATGAGTGAAGATGACAGTAACCTCCAAAAATATAAACTAATGGAAGTTAACTCCCAAGTTTTGTCAAAGAAAAGTTTTAGACGGGAAAACTGTCTCTGTAACAATAATATGTAGAACATAAATATAACCGTTAACCAACGAAGGAAAAACTGAACTTACTCGCATAGGAAAGCATCTGCCTCGTCAATAAAAAGCAGTAGACCTTTTTTTGAATTTTTAGCCCAATCAAATATCTGATGAATCTTAGTAACAGCCTGTGCACCCAAGGGTGCAACATCTCCTCCAGTCATCATAGCATAATCCAAACCCTGCATTCAAAAGGATCAAAAACTGTCATCTTGAGAACTTACAATTTTTTCAGAATAACTCCTATATATATATATATATATATAATATAGGGAATTGTGATTGGCACTCCAAAAATCTCATTCTACACTCCAAACTTTCTATATTTGGAAAGAAAAATACACTTGTGAGGAGTGTAGAATGAGATTTTTGGAGTGCCAATAACACTTCCCTATATATATACGGGTACAAACATATAGTAATTTGTAATTGGCAAGAACTTGGATCCTAGTATCAAGAAATTCAACTTCTAAAACAAAAACAAAAAATTGATGAGAATAAACATCCCTTTTTAACAGATAATAAACTGAACCAAGTTCCATTCATTTGACCTACAAAGATCTCCCCATCAAAAAACTAATGGTCCCGATAAGTTGTCACTAAGACACAGGTGGAGTACAGCTAGGTGGTAGACCATATAAAAGGTTTGAGTAAGACAGAAATGAGCACGATGGTAAAGAGAAGTCTATGGATCAGTGTAATACCGATTTTCGAGCTATTTCTCTTGCAACCATGGTTTTACCAGTGCCAGGGGGGCCATAAAACATCATGTTGCGAAAGGGGGCCTGGTGAGCCTTAGTGTTTGCTGTAGCTCGAGCAAGGTGCTCTATTCTGCTCTGCAACGAAGGATGGAGAATGATATTTGCAAGACCATTCTTACCTTGTGAAGATCCAGTACTGTAATTTAAAACTTTATTCTTTGCTAGAGAAAGCATCTCTGAACCTGGAAATCTTGCAATGGATGATTCTCGAATCAGAGATGGCTGCCCTAGCAGGCGGTTGACATATCCCCATATAACTCTAGAACCTTCTCTGTAAAAAATTAAGTTAAAAAGCAATTAGTTGGCACATCATTAAGCAATACAATCATCACTAAAATGGATGAAAGAACTTAATATCACAATTCCACCAAAAGCTCATCAGATCAATAAAGTAAAAGCCATTATGACCAACTTGACATCAGAATTAAGAGAGACTAAAACTTATTATCAATCAACCTATGTAATGAAGATCACATAAGTAGAAATACAGTAGCATGTTCGGAAGGTGCCAACTGTTTAGTTTGGTAGTGTACAACAAGAGGGGAGGTTATGGAAGTAGCGTACTGACTTCTACACGTCTTCAATACACCAAATAAAAAGGGTAGCACTTTCCATGCTATCCACTTTTTTACATTTTCAGTTCAAGTGGGGGAGGTTATGGAAGTAGCGTACTGACTTATACACTCTGTTCTCCCTTCCTTCAATATTAAACCCATTTGCATCCTAATAAAGTTGAAATATGCCAAGAATAATAGGGCAACAAAATAATATTGCGTACATAAGGAATCGTAACCTGAAGCATCCTTGTCTAAGAAACTCAAAATAGGTGAAATTGCAACGAAAAGAAGAGCACACAAACCTAGTTGTATAAACACCTGCAGCCACTGCTGTAGCACCTCCAACGGTCATAACCAACTTATTCCTATCAGTCAGCAAAGTTCTAATGCCCCCTGCAGATAGCAGATGAGAAACAGTTATATCATCAGCATTTCACAAAAATCAAAATAAAGAGATCAAACAAATATTCTGTTCCATTGACCTCAAGCTAAAATTGGCACTATTGCCATCCACCAGAGAAATTAAAAGAGACAATATTTTACTCACCCCTTAACCACCCACATTTTAAAATCCAGTAACCCTAACCCTACATGACCAGGGGCAGTAGCCCAGCAAAGGGGATATTGGGAACAACTTTGGCAGGTGACAATTGCACCAGTCAGGGACAGTTATGCAAAAAACATAAAAGAAATAATAAAAGGAATCTGATTGGACAGAAAGAACCCAGGAAAATCTATCTTATACAATAGTTGCTTATTCATGTATGTACTATGAGTATCAATATTTCTTCTTATAACTTAAACGCATCTACTCAGTTCTGGATACCTTCAATGTGACTAAAAGTTGTATTGATTGCAGCAAGCCATTTTTCTTTTTCACCATTCATCTGATCTAGAAGCATATTCCTGTTAAGTTCCGCATTCAGTTTCGCTTCATGGGCCCGACCTTTAGCGTTTGCAATGGCTTCTGCTTCTATGTTTTTTAGTTCTAATTCATGTTTCTCTCTTTCAGTTTGGCGCTGCTGCTCTTGCTTCTGTGCCTCAGTAGCAAGTCTTGCTCTCTCTTTTCGGATATTTGACTCCTCTTGCATCCTAAGCATTTCAGCATTATTCTGCCTCTGCTTTTCATGATCCATCTGCACTCAAATAAACAATAAAATGTTAGACTTGACCAAGGTTTCAATAATCCAGGATTTAGAGTGCATTAAAACTTGAGGCACATACAAACTCTAAGTCCTATTTAACATAGAGGTTGTTTGGTACTTGGATCCAACTTTTTGTTTTTCAAAACAAGAAATTGGATCCAAGAAGAAAATCAAACAGGCCCATAAATTTTTTAGAAAAAGAACACATAATTTATTCTACTGCTTGCACCTTCATTCTATTCCTAGCGTGTTCATCTTCCATACGAAGCATTTGAGCCTTTGCCTGTGCTTCTTGTTGCAGTATATTTAGTTGTTCCTCAGCCATGTTCTTACTCCTTTCCTGTCATCAAAAGATTTACACAGTATAAGTTAAAATGTATTGAGGCAGATAAAAGAGAACAAAACAAATCTGCAATTTGCTAAACCTAGATGCCACAAACCTAGACCATTATCTGTTTCGCCACTGACAAAAAAAAAAGAACATAACCCATGCCATAAAAAAGTAAATGACCAGGAACCAAAATTAAACGTCATTATTGCACATTCGAAGAAAATGCCTCATGTATGCAAAGCATTTTCTGTGAAACTCTACGCAGTGAGAATACCAAATAAACCTTATTAGAAAGAAAAAAATTGTGATAAGGCAGTTTGGAAAAGAAAATTGTAGGTGCCAAACGATTGAGATGAGTCGTTTCATTTGTTTGACAAGTGGACCGTAGAAAACCACATTTTACAAATGACTGCAGTTTTAACATGGATTGTAAATTTGTAACATACAAGATCATTTTGAGCCTGTATTGCTTCAAAATGAGCCTTCTCCGCTTCCAACTCAGTGAGGCGACTTTTTTCCTGGCTCCTCATCAGACTAAAAACCTGGAAAACAATACCAGTTGACCGAATTAACACCTTTAATTCAGCTGCATTGTAACCTCAGCATAATAAAAGAAGAAAACACATTTCAATTAATATGCTTCAAGCCACTTCGGTTCCAACAATAACAAAGGTCGGTACTTAAGCTTAAACCGGGGCAGGCAGCAAAACCGCAGGCATAGTAATATAGAAGCACATAGAAATAAAAATCAAAGTCCTATTAAATTTCTATTCAAACGCATCATCAAAACATTCGAAATGAAAGTATCGGAACAAAATTAAAGGAATAATCGAGACTAAAGAACTCCGATTTTCGTGCCTCATTTCCAACCTTAAAGATGCAATAAATCTCTAAGACTAAAAAGAAACAAAAATTTGAAGTTTTCTACAATTTTCCAATCTTTTTCTACGAAAAAAACCACTAACAAAGAAAGAAAAATCAAATTAAGAACAGAAAAACGACCTGCTTGGATAATTTAGAGGAATTGATTTCCCGGAGAGCTTTGGCACCTCGTTCGAGAGCCTCGGGATCGAACCCCGACCCTCTGGGCTCTTCAGGTTGCGGTTCCGATTTCGCATTGGGGCTCTGGTCCGCAGGAGCAGCGGAAGGCGGAGGAGGAGAAGGAGAAGAGTACGAGAACGGATTAAATCGGAAGGGAGAATCGGCGTAGGCGCGGTTGGAGAGCGCGGGCATGGAGACCGCCGCAACCGCCATTGCTATGCACGAAGATAGCTTCGAGGCAGCAACCATCGCTAAAGGTTGGAGATTTGATCGGATTTTTCTTCAAGGTCGAGAATTCATGGGCGCGTATAAACTGAAAATTCTCAGATTTTCTGTGGGAGCTTAAACCCTGAGCAATCTAGGGTTTAAACGGGAAGATTGGAAGTGAAGCGAAGCTCGTCGCTTCCAGGAGCTTAAACCCTGACCAATCAAGTGATTTGCAAAAAAGGGCCCAATTTGGGAAAATATGAAGTGGGAAACAAAGTTAGAGACTTCTAGGCCCAATTTTTTTCAATTTAAGGCATTGTGGGTAAAATTTAAATAAAAAAAAATTATAAGATAACTACATTAAATTTATCTAAAGGCTAAACGCCGAAGAAGAGAATTTGAAATTTAGTACAAAAGATGAAGCACACTATTCTAGCCAATTTGGTTAAATCGGTGTTTGTTAAATACAACTCATTAACATGATAGGAATGTAAGATAGAAAATTTTGTGTGTTTGGAATATGTGATTTAGTGGTTGAGAACGTTGATCATGTATCTCATGATCATTATCCATATATTTCATTGTTCCAAAAAAGATAAATGTTATGGTTATTCACGGTAAGCTGTCACTCTATGTCTGTTATCATAGTGCAACAATCACATTGAATACTCACTTCATTAACATGCAGTATATTTTCAATCATAGTACGACAATCATACTGAATACTCACTCTATAGACACGCATTAGATTTTCAATCATATATAAACGTACATCGGTAACACAGATTCTATTGTAAAAATATACCAATGTAATCAGTCACATGTTGAAGTGTTGTAGATTGTCAACCGAAACAATGAAGCCCAATATGCATCAATGGTCATGGATTCAACTGCGTGCCCGTCACGGCCGTCTTTCTTTGGTTGGATACTTTGGTCCAGAATCGATCAGGTCAACTTTTTTTATTCCACCAAATTAAATAGAGATCAGTATTTTTAATTATCATGATTTTGTTGATGCTGATGTAATTAAGCCAATATTCGTATCTTTGTTCCTCTTCTTCAGTCACATCAGTTTGCATGGTTCGATTGCCGTATAGCTCAAGTTTTTGTACCATGCAGTATAAACACTGTTTGTAGTGCATATCTCATTTTCATATTAAAAACGATGAGAATCTGTCTTGTAATTGAGTGTATAATCTTTGCGTGTCTACAAATATTTATTGCAACTACAACTGTAGAAGCAAAGGGACATACAACCGCGTAGATTCTCTCCTCCTAAGATCTACTTCAACAGTTGGAGTAAAACTCAAATTTTAGGTTCTAAAATCTCTCCCAACTTGCTCCAACTATTGGGACAAACATGAGTTTTAATCCAAAACTCATTCCTGAGGCAAATTTAGGCCAGAATCCCTAGGGTTAGTGGGTTGACCCACTATATAGTGGTATTTTTTTTTTAGTTTTATATTTATAAATTCATTAAATCTAACGGTTAAGATCTAATATAATCAAATCCAACAGTAAAAAAGAAAAAGATTTAACAGTCCAAATTTAAATCCAATGGCTAAGATAATTAAAAAAAATCATGTGTTTCTTATTCTTTCGTAGTGTTCCACGAGTTTCATAGTGTTGGTTTAGTAATTTTTCAATATTTATCAGAATCTAAATATTTTTAGGATGAAAAAATATTCATAAAATTATATTATGATAGTCTACATATATTTTTTTAAAAGTTATTTAAGAAAAAAATTATCATAAATTCATTATTTACTAATCTCGGACTAAAAATTTAACCCATAAAGGTTAAAGTAGAAAAATTGTCTCTCGGTTAAAAATTTTAGGTTTTAACCCAAGGGTTGGGGATGGTCTAAGGATGGAAAAAAAACTTGTGTGGAGTTTGGCTTGCCACTATACTTTGCTGAGTGGCACTACAATTAAAAATCGGCACATGACAACTATTAAATATAATCTTTTATCATTCTTTTATAATAATTCTCATAATTATTTTTCCTACTAATTAATATACATCATAAGATCAATCTAATTGTTCATTTTTTTTTTCTTCTTCTCCTCTCTGTCATTTTTCTTCCCAAAATTTCCCTGTCATCTTTTTCCCCCACTGTTTCTCCTCACTCGAAATACTAACATGCAGACTCGAATCAAATACCCTCAAAGCATGATGACACAATATGCCCTTAGCTTCAAACATTTTACAAGAGCAGGAAACAATATATGGATCGATGTATGAGAGATAAACTCAATTGTGTTCCCTCTTTTATGACCTTCTTCGGTTGCTTATAGATAGTAACTCCTTCATTACTAACTTCTCTTAACCTTAATGTCAAACAACTCATGTAGTCAATTTTAAAGAACTTGAATATTTTATTGGTTGCTTTCCATTATAAAAGTGAAAACTCACGGGAAAAAAATTGCAGAGAATTGCAATCAAATTCAAATTCGACATAATTAGCGAAACTTGAAACAAAAATTTACATGAGATAAATCAAAAGAGGGATGAGAGTATAGGAAACCAATGCTCACACCAGATTTTGGAACGTGGATAAGGGCAGACCAAACAAGGATTAAACTGGAGGGAAAGAAGGGGGAGAGAGAGAGAAGAAAGTGAAGACTCACGGCAAAATATAAACTCTTTAGATTGATTCTGCTATATTTGGGGTGCAGAACTTTCTTAAAAAAAAATTGGGAAGAAAAAAAAAAGGAAAAAGAAGAAAATTTGAATCATTAGATTGATCTTATGGTGTAATTTAATTGGTAGTAAAAATAAATGAGAATTTTACATATAAAAGAATGATAAAAGATAAAGAAAAATTGAATCATTAGATTGATCTTATGGTGTAATTTAATTGGTAATAAAAATAAATGAGAATTTTACATATAAAAGAATGATAAAAGATTATACGTAAGACTTGCCATGTGGAGAGTTTTAAGTGAATTGTAGTGCCACTCAGCAAAATTCAATGGCAAACCAAGCCTCACGCAAGTTTTTCTCCTAAGGAGGATGGGGAATTCAACCAGGACAATAGTAGGTAAGGGAGAGGGATGAGATTGGGAAAGAGATAAGATTATCCCATCTGTCCCCTCCATTTATAGATTTACCAGAAAATAAAAGGAATAGGCTTTTTGCAAACGTAATATCTAATCGTAGTAGTATTGAATTTCATAGACCAAATAGATGGTACTTCGTACACTGATCGAAAGCCACGACAATGGTTAATTTAGCTGCATAAAACCAACTGGTTTTCTTTAATTACATATACATGTCTGCATGCATCTGCTAATTTTCACAACTTTGTTTCTTGATGAACTTAATGGAAACGCTAGAAATCATAAACTTCAAGAGCCTGCCAGGTGGAAGAGAAGAGAAACAGAAAGTATTAGTATGCAGAAAAAACTAAACAGTCTGCGAACATTGTGAAGAATGCAAAATCGTTGAAACATTTGATGCAAGAATTTCACATCTAATGTGGGGTATTCTCATCGCGCTCATTGTGTGATCTCTTGAGCTTAAGATGTGAGAGCATGTGTGGCTGTTAAGCCTAGCACGTGAATAAATTGCTTTGACATGTTAGAATGCTAGTGTACAAATCGAGACCGAAAGATTTGGTAAAATATTGAGTTCGGTTTCCTCGACTTTTCCATTGTCCCCACAAAAAAGTTTTTGGGGGACCATGAAATGAAATGAAATGGAGGCAGTAGTAGATACACACAACTACCCATCTCAAAATAGTGATGCCCATCTTGCTCATGCTAACTGGAAACTACCAGCATTATATTCTCTCATTAGATTCAAGAGTCATGGTGCAACATCTCTGAATAGGGAGAGAAACTTCCACGTCCCTGTGTCAGTTCCGCTCTTCCTATCTCTCTCCTTACGTGATCCTCTCTTTGTTTCTTATATAATATACCGCATGAGGAGACAGATAGAAAGAGAGCATAGTGACGTGTTTTAATTAGCTGAATAGAGCATGCAATAGTATAACAGCATCTAAATTCATTTCAGTACGGCATACCAAATTACCAATGAAGATGATTTGGTTAAGGATTACTAGTAAGCAAAATGCTTTAAACAAAAATATAAACAAAAGAAAGGGAACTAGTGAAGTACCTTTGCCATTCAAAGTCCAAAGAAAGAAAGATTTAGTATTATTCCCCTCTATAATCAGGAAACGGAACTCTGCCAGACTCAATGTGCTTGACATCCTCAATGAGGAGCTCATAGTGCCGCTTCACCTCCTCAGCAGACTTCCCACCGACCGCTCTGGCAACCTTCTGCCAGCGGTCAGGGGTGTCCTTGTCGTACAAAGCCAGGGCCTTTTCAAACTGTTTGTTTTGCTTAGGAGTCCACGAGGAGCTAGAGCTTCTTGAGGAAGTGAGTGAGTTGGAAGCCATCATAAGCACTTCTCCAAAAAATGAAAACCTAAAAGCACTTCTTAAGAAAGGAAAGGAAGGGCTGTGTTTTTCTCAGTCAAGGAAGACTGAGGTCAAGGAGTGGCTTGAGAAGATAAGCAAGTGAGCTCCTTATAAGCAGGAGGAGAAGCACTAAAAAGGACAGGTGGGGTTAAGCCAGTTGGCCGAATATATCTTCAGAAAGGGCACAATTTGAAGTGATACGTTTCCTTAAGAGCCACAAGATGAACATGCAAATGGTAGAAGAGAATCCAGTATGAAAGGGATGGCCCTTTATTTATTTATTTAGTTTTTTTTTTTTTTTTTCATTTACCCCAACTATATTCCTTTATCAATTGACCACCAAGTTGGACCTCCTTTTTTGTTGCAATTACTCGTCTTAATTATGCAGTACTGGTAATTTTGCAGCAACGGAAAACACATTTTGCAGTACTGGTAATTTTGCAGCAACTGAAAACACATAATTTATCAGTACTTGGTTGGCTGGCATAAACGGGAGAAACTTCCATTTAATCTGTTGTATATTCCTCTTTGTCTCTCTCTTATCAAACTTTCGTCACAAAACAGATATATATATATATATATATGTGTGTGTGTGTGTGGGTATACAGCATGCGATATGTAAGTTTTTCTTCCGTGTAAATACATGTTTCTTTTTCAATTTTATTTTAAAAATTTATATCGGTTTTTTTAGCCTCAAATCAAAAGTAGGTATATATTAAGGAGGAATTTTTTGTTTGTTCCATATAGTACTTCAGCATCATCAGGGAAATGGGTTCTTCTTAATGAAGTTGCTGGTAGCTTAAGCATCACTAACTAGAGGTGCAAAATTAAAGCTACAAGTACGATGTATATTTGCCAGCATTGCTTCCAAATTAGGATACAAGGAATGACCCTTTTGGGACAAGGTGCTTTTCATTGCTACATTGTTGATTTGGACATCAATTTTTTTGCCACATTTAATTGTTAATTACTGACTAATATGCTTTTCGGTACTGTCCCTAAACATGGAAGCTTAAAAAAAATGTCTAACTTTACAGAATCACAAAGGTAAAATATTGATTGAATTGCTAGTTTTATTGATCCGACAGGGTCGATCAACAAAGTAAAGATTTGCTTCTGGTGATCTTAATAACTTCAGAAAGAATGCTTGATCAAATTTCAAGTCCATCGTTTTTGTGTTTTACTCTTTTTCTAGCTTCGGAGGGACACCTGTGACGTACTGACATTTGGGAAAAAAAAAATGCCATATACATCATGTTTTATGTTGTACTTTAGGTTTAATTTTCACTTTTAAGTAATTGTTTTCTTTATGTGACGAGTCTTTTCTGCGTGATCTAAGGCTTCAGTAAGCCAGAGCGAATTGCCCTTCTGTGTTTTTACTTTATGTTCTCCATCATCATCCTATGTCTGAAAATGGGCAAGCCTGGATATTTGAGATTGTGTCAATATAATATACAGGGTCCATATCTTCCCCTTTGGGTTTTAAGAATCCAAAACTTCGATAATTCATGTACAAATAGTACGTATAAAGATCAAATGCATGCTGATAGCAACTCAATATTTTACTTCAATGTTCGTTCATTTGGACCACATTCGAATCTTAGACGATGATATTTACTTTTCGAAAATGATTTCACACACCTTTTTTTATCCTCATGCATTTCCTTGTTTATAACTAGCCCTTGAATCAAATAAAGTAAAGAAAAAAACTAATGAAAATAAACATGAGGCACAAGGAGAAAAATGTGTGCAAAAATCATTCTCCTTTCTTTTTTCAAGATGTATTTTTGTGCTTATTATCTTATTTTTCTTTTCTCTAGTAAACATATCTTTGGTGATGATCTTGATTCTTCCCATTCCACTTGCTATATATTATTCCAAACAAGATATATATGGACTCATTTTCTTGGACCAAATAAATCTATAGCTGCTTGGAATGTTTGGGATATTCTTGATATAAATTGCCAATTGGTTATTGCCCCCTTTTGCATGCGAGTGGCATATTTATTTTAGGTCCATTGCTTGAAAACTTAGAATCTGTGATTGTTTAATTTTGGCTTACAAAGCTGAGGCTAGGATTAAGAATCTTAGATTTCAACTCTCTTAACGAATCATTGATACATAGCTGCACATTGTACATTTTGGCATTTTGACCATGTAAGCAACAACCAACAACTATGAAATATTCATCAAACAGAAGCTTGTTATATTTACATAGGTTGCTAGAGAAATGTTTATGTTACTGTGAATTTAGACCGCACAAAAATTTATATAATCAATAATTCAAGTTCACAGTTTGATAACATAATTGGCAGCGATCTGGAAGCATAGGGAGATTTGAATAATTAGCTGATCAAGTCCCTCAAATTATAATTAACCTCACAAAATTGCCACAAAGATCTAGATATTTTGTTGTTCCACTTGATATTCTTGAGGTCGGTTGATATTTATGTATATGTATATGATTGATTGAGAGAGACTTTTGGAAAGTGGCGAGGGAATCTGTGCTCATCATATACTGCCACTGGTCCTTGCATTCAAAATTCAAGTACATAATTAATCTTCATTTGCAGATTTGGAATCTTTATCACCTCATCTCAAATCTACGTCCATCAAAGCAATATGCATGCCTATGTATTCCTTTTTCTTTTACCCTTAGATTGTTGCATCTCCATCAGTTTCTTATAAGCGCTCTATGAATTTTCATGGTGGTTAACTAAATACGTTTAGTGAGTAGAATATATATGTATATATCTCCACAAACCCTAAATTAGTCAATTTGATTTCTTTTTTTGCTTTAAGCTCTGCAGGTTGCTCCTGATTAGGCATCTTATGCTAAGCTAGCGTAAGCATGAGAATTAATAACTTTTAAGGGGATCAAATTACATAAAAATAATCCTCTAAGAATTTTTCCTGTGATTTTGGTTTAGCATTGGTTTCCTAATCATATCAGCAGATTCGATGAAGTATGTGTTAGCTGCTTAGCATATATTGTCCCATCATTTCCTCTTTGTGACGTGAGCCACATTATTTTTACGTAAACTAAATTTTAATTGTAAATTATACTCATGAGTTTAACATGCATCGTACCTAAACTGCTAAACATATGTATCGTAGAGGCCTCTACAGTACATTTGTTTCGTACATCTACAATGAGCATGCCATGGTTCAGCATCCGCAAGTTTCGCTTGATGATCACTGTGGAACCAAAAATATTCACAAGGTGACACGTGGATTTTGGAAAAAAAAGACAAAAATACCCTTGAGGTATAACGAGGATCCTACGTGCGAGTAGCAAGCAATCATCCTCAACCAAGTCAAAAATGCTCCAGAAAAGGTAACCAATTCCAAATTATCTCATACATCCACATTTTAGGTAGTTATTTCATAACCTACCAATTGTCCTACATAAATTGAGATAATTGACAAATTAATGGGATTATTACTCATTAATTTGTCAATTAAATTAGCCATAACACCAAAAAACACCCTAAAGGCCGGTTATCTCTCTCCCAAAAGAGGGGCCGGCCATCTCCTTTATTTTCCCACTTTGACTTACCTTTTTCACATCTAATTAGCTAATCTTTTTAATTGATTAGTTGATCATGCCATAAAAATCATATATTCATTCCTTTTTGTAATGTTAATTAGCCAATTAATATATTTATCTAAATAATATATTTAATTGCTAATTAAAAGTCATCCATTTAACCCCAAAACTCCCAAATGGCCGGCCATCCTAGTGGATCTCCCCATATTTGCCCATTTCATCCCACTAATTAGCTAATTAATTTGGCAATAATTCTATTTAGCCAAATTAATTAGTCGATTAACTACATAACTCCTAAAATTACCATCAATCATGAACAAGACCCACAAACAAGGCTAGGTGGCCGGTCCTCTCTCACCCTAAGAGGCCGGCCACTCCCCTATTTAAACCCTTCTCTTCTCTCCAAAAGAGGATTCGAACACTTTGGCAAAAATCCTAAAATTCTCTAAACACTCTTTCTCTCTAAATTCTAACTTTGGCATCGGAGGTTCTTCGGCCAAAGCCCCCCCCCATTCATTGTGGGCGCGTGAGGCTCTTGGCCATAACCAAAGGTGTTATTTATTTTGTAGGTGCAATTTTGTCCAAGATCAAGGAGGAAGAAATTTGCATCCACAAATTGGTGCTTTCATTGAGAGTTGAAATCCATACTCGTAGAAGACTTTCGCACAAAAAAGGTGTTTTCTTTATTTTCTAGTCCATTTGAATATTTTTCATACGTTCTTATTATTAGAATTTTTTACTTGCAAAGGTTCTTTGATAAAACGTATAAGCAAAATATAATGGCTAGAAATTTAGAAAATTCCACAAGTGAAAATTCTAATGTTCAAGAAATGGGATTGCGGATATCCGTGAGGCTAAATGCGACAATAAGTGGAGCAGCACCACCACCACGAGTTTCCACCATGGGAACCACCACGGTGGCTACCTCGGTAGCCACCCGTGGCGAGGTCCATGGTGCCTTCACCACGGCTCGAGCCGTGCCATCCAAGGCTCACGGCACCAAGGCCATGGCCCAAGTCGTGCCATCCAAGTTTGCACGGGCCCGGGCCCAAGCCTCGCATTTGCATGCATCACATACTAAGCAGCCTGCTCCCGCCAAACAACCTGCTCTCGCGGCCCAGCCTGCTCCCGCCAAGCAACCTGCTCTCGCCAAGCAACCTGCTCTCGTGACCCAGCCTGCTCCCGACAAGCAGCCCACTCCCGTGGTCCAACCTGCTTCCGTCGAGCAGCCCACTCTCACGGCCCAGCCTGCTCCTGCCAAGCAGCCTGCTCTCGTGACCCAGCCTGCTCCCGACGAGCAGCCCACTCCCGTGGTCCAACCTGCTTCCGTCGAGCAGCCCACTCTCGTGGCCCAGCCTGCTCCCGTCGAGCAGCCCACTCTCACGGCCCAACCTGCTCCTACCGAGCAGCTTACTCTCGTGACCCAGCCTGCTTCCGACGAGCAGCCCACTTCCGTGGCCCAGCCAGCTCCAGTCGAGCAGCCCACTCTCACGGCTTTCCAAGCAGCCCAAGTCGGCCCAAGACTATCTCAACCATCCGAACCTACCATC